ATTGGATATGTTTTATAGCAAAAAGTCAAAAATATTGTGTTTTTTTTCCTAAATTGTTGTTTATAGCACACAAAAAAAAAATGGAGAGGTGATCAAATACTACAGATCGAAAAAAAATAGATATCAATTTCATTTCTGTACAGCGTTGCATGACCGCGCAATTGTCAGTTAAAGTAACGCAGTGCTGTATCACAAAAATGGCCTGGTCAGGAAGGGGGGAAAATCATTTGGAGGGCAAGTGGTTAAATTTCAGACAATACAAAGTAAGAACAATGAAACCAAGTAACATAGGTTTGCTCAAGTTACAGAATTCAGCACATATGACAGCTTGAATATGGTAAACATGCATATTCCTGTTAATTAACCACTTGCCCTCTGGAAGATTTACCCCCCTCCATGGCCAGGTCATTTTTTGCGATACGGCCCTACTTACTAACTAACAATTGCACAGTCATGCAACGCTGTACATAATGGAATTTATGCAAGTTTCCCCCCACAAATAGAGCTATATTTTGGTGGTATTTGATCACCTCTGTGGTTTAATTTTTTTGCTTTGTTTTTTAAAAAAAAAAAAAAAACCAACAATTTTGAAAAAAAACAAACAATATTTTTGACTTTTTGCTATAAAACATATCCAATATCAAATAAAAAAATAAAATTTCTTTATAAATTCAGGCCAAAGTGTATTCTGCTACATGTCTTTGGTAAAAAAAAGTGTATATTAATTGGTTTTATATGAAATTTATAGCATCAACAAATGGTGGTATATATACTGGAGTTTTTATTTATTTATTTTTTATACTAGTAATGGCGGCGATCAGCAACTTATAGCAGGACAGCGGCGGGCATTCTGACACTAACTGACACTGTGTGGGAACTAACTAACACTGACACTGGGCAGGATGGGGTTAACATCTAGGGTGATCAAAGGGTTAATTGTGTACTGTTTTTACTGTGTTTTTACTAGGGGATGTGTTGATTTTTATCTCTCTACTTTGCAGAGAGATAGAAAGTAGCACATCCTCGCTGACAGAACAGAGATCTAAGTTGTTTACACACAGATCTTTCCCAGTCAGCTTCTCCTCTGATCACTGAGCCATGGCCATGAATCGCTGGCCAGGATCTGGTGATTCGCATGTGCAGGAGTTAATGACAGCGCACGGTAGGGCAGCGCATCCACGCGTGCCCCTACCCGGAAAATGTAGAATCACGTATCTATACATGATTTTGCACAGAGTGGCCACCCTGTAGCAGTACATCTGCTATGGGGTGGTCTTTAAATGGTTAGGTAACATTTAATTAAAGCATGGTGTCAACATAGCAGCTGCTGTGTACCCAGGATTTCCATCTAATATCAAAGATAGATCTAGTAGTTGCTTTGTGTGAATACATTTTTTTCAAAAGAGTAGTGAACATTCACTAGGTTAATGACTTACATAGTTACATAGTGAGTCTGGCTCAAAAAAAAGTCCATCCAGTTCAACCATTAAAAAAAAAAAAGTTATAATCCTACACCTACAGTTGATCCAGAGGAAGGCAAAAAAAACCCAGCAAAGCATGATCCAATTTGCTCCTGCAGGGGAACACAAAATTCCTTCCTGATCCCCTGAGAGGCAATCAGATATTCCCTGGATCAACTTTACCTATAAAATGTTATTATCCAGTTATATTCTGTGTATCTAGGAAAGAATCCATGCATTTTTTAAAGCAATCCACTGAGCTGGCAAGAAACTAACTCTTGAGGGAGTCTATTCCACATTTTCACAGCTCTCACTGTGAAGAAACCTTTCCGTGTTTGGAGATGAATTTCTTTTCCTCCAGACGTAAAGAGTGCCTCCTTGTCCTCTGTGATGACCTCAAGGTGAATAACTCTACACCGAGGGGTGTATTTACCACAAGGCAAACAAGGCATTTGCCTAGGGTGGCATTTTTCAGGGGGCAGCGCCCGAAAGGAGGGATGAAAGAAGGGACACATGCAGCATGGGGACCAGGTGGGATCTGAGAGAGGCTGCGGGCTGCTTGATGGTGTATGTAGAGCAGAGGCGGACTGACAACTCATGGGGCCCTCAGGCAATAGGGGATCATGGGGCCCCTGTGTCCTTGCCCAAAAAATCATATGAAAAAGGTACCAGGGGCATCTCATGGGCCCCCTACTGACCCCGGGGCCCTCGGACAGTGCCCGAGTTTCCAAATGGTCAGTCCGCCCCTGATGTAGAGCCTGGCTGCTCTTGTCACCGGGAATGTCCGGAGCTGTGAAGGTGAGTGTCTTCTCTCTCGCCAGGGTGGATGGCTGGGATCTTGTTGGTCAATGTCAGGCTCTCTTCAAGGTGGGGTGGGGTGCTTGTGCTGGTCAGTGTCAGGGTCTCTCCGTGAGGGGGGGAGCCAATTTTGTGCCTTTGTGTGTATTGGGACAAAACAAAAAAAGGGAGGAAAGAAAGCAAATTCGACATAATGTCACACAAACCTCCAAAAATGGGCTGGACAAAAGTATTGGCACCCTTTCACAACTGCGGATAAATAAGAATGTTACAAGCATGTGATGCTCCTGTAAACTCACCTGGGGCAAGTAACAGGTGTGGGCAATATAGAAATCACACCTGAAAGCAGATAAAAAGGAGAGACGTTCACTTAACCTTTGCATTGTGTGTCTGTCTGTGCCACACTAAGCATGGACAACAGAAAGAGGAGACGAGAACTGTCTGAGGACCTGAGAACCAAAATTGTGGCAAAATATCAACAATCTCAAGGTTACAAGTCCATCTCCAGAGAACTAGATTTGCCTTTGTCCACAGTGCGCAACATTATCAAGAAGTTTGCAACCCATGGCACTGTAGCTAATCTCCCTGGTCGTGGACGGATGAGGAAAATTGATGAAAGATTGCAACGCAGAATAGTCCGGATGGTGGATAAGCAGCCCCAAACATGTTCCAAAGACATTCAAGCTGTCCTGCAGGCTCAGGGAGCATCAGTGTCAGCGCGAACTATCCGTCGACATTTAAATGAAATGAAACGCTATGGCAGGAGACCCAGGAGGACCCCACTGCTGACACAGAGACATAAAAAAGCAAGACTACAGTTTGCCAAAATGTACTTGAGTAAGCCAAAAGCCTTCTGGGAAAACGTCTTGTGGACAGATGAGACCAAGATAGAGCTTTTCGGTAAAGCACATCATTCTACTGTTTACCGAAAACGGAATGAGGCCTACAAAGAACAAAACACAGTACCTACGGTAAAATATGGTGGAGGTTCAATGATGTTTTGGGGTTGTTTTGCTGCCTCTGGCACTGGGTGCCTTGACTGTGTGCAAGGCATCATGAAATCTGAGGATTACCAAAGGATTTTGGGTCGCACTGTAGGGCCCAGTGTCAGAAAGCTGGGTTTGCGTCCAAGATCCTGGGTCTTCCAGCAGGACAATGACCCCAAACATACGTCAAAAAGCACTCAGAAATGGATGGCAAAGAAGCGCTGGAGAGTTCTGAAGTGGCCAGCAATGAGCCCAGATCTAAATCCCATTGAACACCTGTGGAGAGATCTTAAAATTGCTGTTGGGAAAAGGAAAAGGTGTCCTTCCAATAAGAGAGACCTGGAGCTGTTTGCAAAGGAAGAGTGGTCCAAAATTCCGGGTGAGAGGTGTCAGAAGCTTATTGATGGTTATAGGAAGCGACTGATTTCAGTTATGTTTTCCAAAGGGTGTGCAACCAAATATTAAGTTAAGGGTGCCAATACTTTTGTCCAGCCCATTTTTGGGGTTTTGTGTGACATTATGTCATATTTGCTTTTTTCTGCCTCTGTTTTATATTTGTTCCAATACATACAAAGGGAATAAACATGGGTGTTTCTAGGCTTCAGAGAGACTTAATATTAGTGCTGAACACTGTACCTTTAATTTAAATGCCCTTGGAGTCTGCTGGGGAAGAGAAATAATACTGTCAGGCAGTATGACATGCAGATGAGTGCCGTCGATCTTAGAATCACCGCACACTTCACTCATTTGGCCAGTCACGGGGCCAAAACCAGAGTGTGGAGCCACAGTGTGGCGGTGGAGGCAGCAGCAATGGGAGGCCATGCAGCACCCTATGACAAAAATGGAAACCACCAGCAGTGTGAGGAGACCTGAAAGTGGCACATGGCAGAGTGTGGCGATAGAGACAGCAGCAATGGGAGGCCGTACAGGGACCCATGACACACTCTGGACCTGGCAGCAGCATGAGGAGGCGGTACAGGGGCCCATGGCAGATTACGGGCCTGGCAGCAGCATGAGGAGTCGGTAGGGGGGCCCATGGCAGATTACAGGCCTGGCAGCAGCAATGGGAGGCCGTACAGGGACCCATGACACAATCTGGACCTGGCAGCAGCATGGGGAGGCGGTACAGGGGCCCATGACAGATTACGGGCCTGGCAGCAGCATTTGGAGTCGGTACGGGGGCCCATGACACACTCTGGACCTGGGCAGCAGCATGAGGAGGCGGTACAGGGGCGCATGACAGATTACGAGCCTGGCAGCAGCAACTTGGACAGGAGGACGTTCAGTTTCTGCACCGTCTGGTGCGTGCTCGCAAACTGTTGTCTCTTGGAAACGGATTCCAAGAAAGACTGCTGACGGAATCCGTGAAGAGGAGTAGCAGGAGAAGGAGCATCTGAACGAGCGGAATATGCCAACAAGCGACAACAGGGGCCCATGACAGATTACGGGCCTGGCAGCAGCATGAGGAGTCGGTACGGGGGCCCATGGCAGATTAGGGGCCTGGCAGCAGCTATGGGAGGCCCGTAATCTGCCAGCACCCTATGACAAAAAATGGAACCCACCAGCAGTGTGAGGAGACCTGAAAGTGGCACATGGCAGAGTGTGGCGATGGAGACAGCAGCAATGGGAGGCCGTACAGGGACCCATGACACACTCTGGACCTGGCAGCAGCATGAGGAGGCGGTATAGGGGCCCATGGCAGATTAGGGGCCTGGCAGCAGCTATGGGAGGCCCGTAATCTGCCAGCACCCTATGACAAAAAATGGAATACACCAGCAGTGTGAGGAGACCTGAAAGTGGCACATGGCAGAGTGTGGCGATGGAGACAGCAGCAATGGGAGGCCGTACAGGGACCCATGAGAGACTCTGGACTTGGCAGCAGCATGAGGAGGCGGTATAGGGGCCCATGGCAGATTAGGGGCCTGGCAGCAGCTATGGGAGGCCCGTAATCTGCCAGCACCCTATGACAAAAAAAAATGGAACACACCAGCAGTGTGAGGAGACCTGAAAGTGGCACATGTTTGGGGCATGATTCATGGCGGATTTAGTCAGTTGTGTCAGGAACTGGTGGTTTGAAATCCAGACTAATCACGCCTGATTCATTTTCACAAACGTCAGTCTCTCCACACTTTGGGTGGACAGTCGTGTCCTCCGCGGAGTTGCAATACCTCCTGCCGCACTAAACACGCGCTCCGATGCCACGCTACTGGCCGGGCATGACAGCCTTTCAAGGGCAAATTCAGCTAGTTGGGGCCAAAGGTCAAGTTTCGTTGCCCAGTAGTCAAGGGGATTGTCTACCTCGGTTGGCAGGGTGCTGTCCAAGTAGGCCTAAGCCTGTTGTTTGAGGTCCTGCTCCAGGTCCACCTGATGCTGCTGCTGCTGCTGCTGCTGCTGCGGCTGGTTAGTAGTTTCCTCACTGCGCTGGTGAAGAAAGCTACTCATCATCGACTGCAGACTGAGGCAGCCGCTGCTGGTGGAGCTGCCACTGCTCCTACCACCCCACCCCCCCTGCTGCCATGGCAGCGGAAACGCGAGCGCACAGGGCCCACAGTGTCTGAGGATGGACGTTGGCGCAGACAGGCAGAGACCAGCTGACTACATAGGTGGTTTTTATAGTACGTTATTTTGGCCTCCCTCTCAGCAGGTGTGAAAAAGGCCACCATTTTTGAACGGGTAGCGAGGGTCCAACAAGGTGGACAGCCAAAAGTCATCCCTCTGTCTGATGGTTATTATTCGGCTGTCGCTACGCAAGCAACCGAGCATGCTATGGGCCATTTGTGCCAAGGAATGCGAGGGACTCCCTGCCTCCATCTCCACAGCATACTGCCACGGTGCGTCTGGGTCCTCTGTCTCCTCCTCCTCCTCCTCCTCTACCAGATGCTCCTCCTGCTCCTCCACTCCTGTCCGCTGAGTGGAAAAACCACCCATTTCACTCAATAATTCCTGAGCACCAATGTCCTCCTCTACCTCCTCCTCTTCTTCCTGTCCTGCCCCCACAGGGGTCATGTGGCGTTGAGATCTGTGCGCCACGTCTACCGCACCCTGACCAGCCATTGTTAACAGCATTTGTTCCAGGACGTGCAACAGAGGAATGACGTCGTTCATCCCATAGTCCTGCCGACTCACGAATAGCGTGGCCTCCTCAAAGGGCCTGAGCAAGCGCAGGTGTCACGCATGAGCTGCCAATGGCTGACATCTAAGTTACACAGGGAATACCTTTATCCGCTTTTAACATCAGGAAATCTGTGATGGCCTTTTGCTGTTCGTAAAGGCGGTCTAACATATGTAGGGTTGAATTCCACCTTGTTGCAACGTCACAGCATGAGGAGTCGGTATAGGGGCCCATGGCAGATTAGGGGCCTGGCAGCAGCTATGGGAGGCCCGTAATCTGCCAGCACCCTATGTCAAAAAATTATACACACCAGCAGTGTGTGAGGAGACCTGAAAGTGGCACATGGCAGAGTGTGGCGATGGAGACAGCAGCAATGGGAGGGCCGTACAGGGACCCATGACAGACTCTGGACCTGGCAGCAGCATGAGGAGGCGGTATATAGGGGCCTATGGCAGATTAGGGGCCTGGCAGCAGCTATAGGAGGCCCATAATCTGCCAGCACCCTATGTCAAAAAAAATTCTACACACCAGCAGTGTGAGGAGACCTGAAAGTGGCACATGGCATGAGAGACTCTGGACCTGGCAGCAGCATGAGGAAGCGGTATATAGGGGCCTATGGCAGATTAGGGGCCTGGCAGCAGCTATGGGAGGCCCATAATCTGCCAGCACCCTATGTCAAAAAATTCAACACACCAGCAGTGTGTGAGGAGACCTGAAAGTGGCACATGGCAGAGTGTGGCGATGGAGACAGCAGCAATGGGAGGCCGTACAGGGACCCATGACAGACTCTGGACCTGGCAGCAGCATGAGGAGGCGGTATATAGGGGCCTATGGCAGATTAGGGGCCTGGCAGCAGCTATGGGAGGCCCTTAATCTGCCAGCACCCTATGTCAAAAAATTCTACACACAGCAGTGTGTGAGGAGACCTGAAAGTGGCACATGGCAGAGTGTGGCGATGGAGACAGCAGCAATGGGAGGCCGTACAGGGACCCATGACAGACTCTGGACCTGGCAGCATGAGAGAAGGCGGGTATAGGGGCCTATGGCAGATTAGGGGCCTGGCAGCAGCTATGGGAGGCCCATAATCTGCCAGCACCCTATGTCAAAAAATTCTACACACCAGCAGTGTGTGAGGAGACCTGAAAGTGGCACATGGCAGAGTGTGGCGATGGAGACAGCAGCAATGGGAGGCCGTACAGGGACCCATGACAGACTCTGGACCTGGCAGCAGCATGAGGAGGCGGTATATAGGGGCCCATGGCAGATTAGGGGCCTGGCAGCAGCTATGGGAGGCCCTTAATCTGCCAGCACCCTATGTCAAAAAAATTCTACACACCAGCAGTGTGTGAGGAGACCTGAAAGTGGCACATGGCAGAGTGTGGCGATGGAGACAGCAGCAATGGGAGGCCGTACAGGGACCCATGACAGACTCTGGACCTGGGCAGCAGCATGAGGAGGCGGTATATAGGGGCCCATGGCAGATTAGGGGCCTGGCAGCAGCTATGGGAGGCCCTTAATCTGCCAGCACCCTATGTCAAAAAATTCTACACACCAGCAGTGTGTGAGGAGACCTGAAAGTGGCACATGGCAGAGTGTGGCGATGGAGACAGCAGCAATGGGAGGCCGTACAGGGACCCATGACAGACTCTGGACCTGGCAGCAGCATGAGGAGGCGGTATATAGGGGCCCTATGGCAGATTAGGGGGCCTGGCAGCAGCTATGGGAGGCCCTTAATCTGCCAGCACCCTATGTCAAAAAATTCTACACACCAGCAGTGTGTGAGGAGACCTGAAAGTGGCACATGGCAGAGTGGGCGATGGAGACAGCAGCAATGGGAGGCCGTAGACTCTGGACCTGGCAGCAGCATGAGGAGGCGGTATATAGGGGCCTATGGCAGATTAGGGGCCTGGCAGCAGCTATGGGAGGCCCGTAATCTGCCAGCACCCTATGTCAAAAAATTCTACACACCAGCAGTGTGTGAGGAGACCTGAAAGTGGCACATGGCAGAGTGTGGCGATGGAGACAGCAGCAATGGGAGGCCGTACAGGGACCCATGACAGACTCTGGACCTGGCAGCAGCATGAGGAGGCGGTATATAGGGGCCCATGGCAGATTAGGGGCCTGGCAGCAGCTATGGGAGGCCCTTAATCTGCCAGCACCCTATGTCAAAAAAATTCTACACACCAGCAGTGTGTGAGGAGACCTGAAAGTGGCACATGGCAGTGTGGCGATGATGGGACTCGTGGACCATGACAGCTGGAGCAGCAGCATGAGGAGGCGGTATATAGGGGCCTATGGCAGATTAGGGGCTGGCAGCAGCTATGGGAGGCCCATAATCTGCCAGCACCCTATGTCAAAAAATTCTACACACCAGCAGTGTGTGAGGAGACCTGAAAGTGGCACATGGCAGAGTGTGGCGATGGAGACAGCAGCAATGGGAGGCCGTACAGGGACCCATGACAGACTCTGGACCTGGCAGCAGCATGAGGAGGCGGTATATAGGGGCCTATGGCAGATTAGGGGCCTGGCAGCAGCTATGGGAGGCCATAATCTGCCAGCACCCTATGTCAAAAAATTCAACACACACCAGCAGTGTGTGAGGAGACCTGAAAGTGGCACATGGCAGATGGCATGGAGACAGCAGCAATGGGAGGCCGTGGCATGCAGCACCTGGAGGAGGAGGCGGTATATAGGGGCCTATGGCAGATTAGGGGCCTGGCAGCAGCTATGGGAGGCCCATAATCTGCCAGCACCCTATGTCAAAAAATTCAACACACCAGCAGTGTGTGAGGAGACCTGAAAGGAGAGTGTGGCTGAAAGTGGCACATGGCATGAGAGACTCTGGACCTGGCAGCAGCATGAGGAAGCGGTATATAGGGGCCTATGGCAGATTAGGGGCCTGGCAGCAGCTATAGGAGGCCCATAATCTGCCAGCACCCTATGTCAAAAAATTCTACACACCAGCAGTGTGTGAGGAGACCTCAAAGTGGCACATGTTTGAGGCATGATTCATGGCGGATTTAGTCAGTTGTGTCAGGAACTGGTGGTTTGAAATCCAGACTAATCCACGCCTGATTCATTTTCACAAACGTGAGTCTCTCCACACTTTGGGTGGACAGTCGTGTCCTCCGCGGAGTTACAATACCTCCTGCCGCACTAAACACGCGCTCCGATGCCACGCTACTGGCTGGGCATGACAGCCTTTCAAGGGCAAATTCAGCTAGTTGGGGCCAAAGGTCAAGTTTCGTTGCCCAGTAGTCAAGGGGATTGTCTACCTCGGTTGGCAGGGTGCTGTCCAAGTAGGCCCAAGCCTGTTGTTTGAGGTCCTGCTCCAGGTCCACCTGATGCTGCTGCTGCTGCTGCGGCTGGTTAGTAGTTTCCTCACTGCGCTGGTGAAGAAAGCTACTCATCATCGACTGCAGACTGAGGCAGCTGCTGCTGGTGGAGCTGCCACTGCTCCTACCACCCCCCCCTCCCCTGCTGCCATGGCAGCGGAACGCGAGCGCACAGGGCCCACAGTGTCTGAGGATGGACGTTGGCGCACAAAGGCAGAGACCAACTGACTACATAGGTGGTTTTTATAGTACGTTATTTTGGCCTCCCTCTCAGCAGGTGTGAAAAAGGCCACCATTTTGGAACGGTAGCGAGGGTCCAACAAGGTGGACAGCCAAAAGTCATCCCTCTGTCTGATGGTTATTATTCGGCTGTCGCTACGCAAGCAAACCGAGCATGCTATGGGCCATTTGTGCCAAGGAATGCGAGGGACTCCCTGCCTCCATCTCCACAGCATACTGCCACGGTGCGTCTGGGTCCTCTGTCTCCTCCTCCTCCTCCTCCCTACCAGATGCTCCTGCTCCTCCACTCCTGTCCGCTGAGTGGAAAAACCACCCATTTCACTCAATAATTCCTGAGCACAAATGTCCTCCTCTACCTCCTCCTCTTTCTTCCTGTCCTGCCCCCACAGGGGTCATGTGGCGTTGAGATCTGTGCGCCACGTCTACCGCACCCTGACCAGCCATTGTTAACAGCATTTGTTCAAGGACGTGCAACAGAGGAATGACGTCGTTCATCCCATAGTCCTGCCGACTCACGAATAGCGTGGCCTCCTGCATGCAAAGTTTACGTGACATTTTAAGGATGTCTTGCAGTGGGATGGTGGATTTTAAGAACCGCTTGACAACCAGATTGAACACGTGAGCCATGCATGGCGCATGGCACAACCTTCCTTGACGCAGAGCAGACACCATGTTCTTTCCGTTGTCGGTCAACATGGTTCCGATTTTCCAGTTTGCGCGGAGACAGCCATCTGTCGATTTCTCTGTTCATTACACTCAGAAGTTCCTCCCCTGTGTGACTACGTTCGCCAAGGCATACCAGTGCAGAACAGCGTGACACCGTTGCGCCCTGCACATGTTATATGCCGGTCGGGTATGGGATGGGACATGGCACTTGGGAGGGGGGGTGGCGGCTGAGGACACGCGGAAGAAGAGGTGGTAGAGGCGGACATCTTTGCCGGACCAAGGACGTGCAAACGTGGAGGCAAAAGCGGCGTGACCTGTCCAAGTTGCTGGTGCGGCTGTGACGGCACCACGTTCACCCAGTGGGCCGTAAATAATGACATGTACTGTCCCTGACCGTAGTTACAGCTCCACACGTCGGCGCTGCCGTGCACTTTGGCAGAGACCGACATGCTCAAAGACTGGCCCACCATGTCTTCTACATGTGAATGCAGGGCTGGCACTGCCTTTTTTGGCGAAGAAATGACGGCTTGGCACTCTCCACCGCGGCGCGGCACAAGCCATCATTTCTCTGAAAGGTGCTGAGTCCACCACTTGGAAAGGGAGGGACTGCAGCACCAGCAACTTGGACAGGAGGACGTTCAGCTTTTGCACCGTCGGGTGCGTGCTCGCAAATGTTGTCTCTTGGAAACGGATTCCAAGAAAGACTGCTGACGGAATCCGTGAAGAGGAGTAGTAGCAGGAGAAGGAGCATCTGAACGAGCGGAAGATGCCAACGAGCGACAACTCCCCTCAGCAGAGGTGTTGGAGCCTTGACTGGCTGTGATGGAGGGCGATTGACGTCGGGTGACGGAGCAAGTAACGGAGCGGGTGATGGAGCGGGGGCTGGGGCGGGCAGAACCGCCGTATCTTTATCACGGTTTTCCCAGGCCACCAAATGGCGACGCTGCATATGCTGCCGCAACGCTGTAGTCCCAACATGGGCCCCCTGGCCACGCTTGACTTTCTGGCACACATAGTCGACATACGGCTACGTTTACTTCCTCTCGGGCGGCTTGACGAAAAATTGCCCACACCGCCGAGTAGGAAACTTTGCCCCCGATACTCCTCACTGGCTGTGACTGCTGCTTCCTCCGTGCACACCGGCACCACTACTGGCCGTGGTGGTAGGCTGCAGTGGAGCTGGTGCTCTACTCCGTGGACGTTTGGCTCCACTGACACTGCTGCGACCCTGCTGCTGTCTCCTGGGCAACCCACCGACTGTTTTTGCTCGCTGCCAATGCTGCCACCCTCTTCTCCTGATGATGCGGAAGAAAATTGCCCTGATGAACGACGAGGCTGCCAAGTGCGATCAACCATCCTCATCATCAAGTAGGGTCTCCGCATCACTACTAGCCCCCTCGGCTGCGTCTATGGGGTCAGGAGACAGACCTGTCTCTAGACCGGCTACCGAGCCACTCTCCTCGCCACTACTTCTTCGCCTGGCTGCTGAAAAGGCGGATGTCTCCCCCCGTTCCTGGACCGACTCTCGTGTTAGCTCTTCCTCTCTGTACAGTGGGGCTGAGCCCCAC